CTGGGTATTTTCCCAGAAGATCTAAAAACATCATATCACAGCGATATATGTGCACCTATGTTCACAGCAGCACAATTTGTAATTGCTAAAATGTGGAAGCAACCCAAATGTCCATCCACCGAGGATTAGATAAGAAAATTGTGACACTTTTCTACAATGGAATATTACACAGCTATAAAGAAAGATAAACTCTAGGCTTTTACAGGTAAATGGTCACAACTAGAGATCATACTCATAAGTGAAATAAATCAGACATGCATGTGAAAGCACTGCATTGTTTCATTAGTGTAAAACCTGAAAGAGTTAATTTAAACTAGGAGGTATGATAGACATTGTGAAATGATAGGAAAACAATCAAGGGTAAAGGGCAGCTGGGATGTGGGGAAAGAGAAGGAAAAGGAGAAATTTTGTCTGTATGTATATACAGGATAGTTAACGTAGTTCTACCGTCTTCTATTTCTTTGCTGAAAGAAACTGTCAATGAGTCCTTGATGGATCAATATTGCATGTCTCTATCTGTTTTCATGAGAAACCACTTTGAAGATATCAATATGTACTACAAGAAGCATTGTTAATTTCCTACCACTTTGTTTGTAACTGTATTGTCTATACTGTTCTTTTGCTATTTTGTAAGAGATTGTCTGTCTGTTAATGCTTTCCTCTTTCTTTTTAAATTAAAAAAAAAAATAAGATTGCCTTTTTGCGAAAAGAACAAAGAATTTGAGTTAACTACTGTGGCTGACTGACCACTGGTGACCAACACCCAGCTAAACTGAGCAAGCATGGTGCTGGGTGTGGGAGGCCCATCCGAAGATTGTTGTCAGAAGCTAAGAGGCAGAACTGGAGAAGAAGTCAGGCTGTTGGGAACTGAAGAAGGCTATTGAGAGCTGGTAGAAGCTATAACGAGCTGTTGGTTCTTTTGGAGGAGTTTGTTATGCTGGTTTCCTGGTGGACTTGACTGTTTTCATCTTTTGAGGAGCTCAGGATCTTGTTGGCACTGAGAATAGTTTCAGTTCACTTTGGGGGAGCTCTAATCCTTACTTTGCATGTTGTATCCTGACTCCAGTGCAGATCCCTCAGCCTACTAGCACAGACCCTTCATCCTTCTGGCACAGACTTTCTAGAGTCCACCACTGACCTTTGGGCCTTCCAGCTCAGATCCATGAAACAGGCCTGCATGAGGCATTGTCATGGGCTCTAGGCCCCCAGTTGGACTCATGGGAGGCATTGCTATGAGGTCTAGTTCTTCAACTGGATTCATGCAGGACAATTCCTTGGGATCCAGGCCCTTGGTTAGATTCCTTGGTCTTAGTGTGTGAACAGATTTCCTGCACTCTTTTGTATATAATTCTTTGGGTGACTATTATAAATAACCTTATAAAATATGTGTCTTGTATTATATTGTTCCCCTTGCAATATCCCCCAAACTAGGACAACTACAATTAATGAAAACTTTTTTTAAGGGTAAGAGTAGGAAAATTTGTTGGAGAACAGGGATGGAGGAATGGGGGATAAGAATATCTCCCGAGAGACAGAAGGGGTCCTGAATGCTTTGCCTGAAAACTTATAAAAGAGTTAACACTGAGTTTCTCCTTTGATATAGGCACATTTCAAGTATGTAATACCTACATGTGTTCAGTGGCTACTGTATGAACAAGCAGATCTGCACTATTCCTATCATCACTTAATTTGCTAGTTACAGCACTAATATAATGAGTTAAACACATAGATATGTGATTCTTTCCTTTATTCAATGACTCCCTTTTTTGGGTATATGCTTTCTGAGGCAAATATCACACACGTTACAAATTCTCTGTCTTTCTTCTCCCCTAATTTGTGGTGGAGCCTCAGGATCCCAGGCTCCTAGAGTCCTGCTTAGTAAAGGGAAGGCTGTTGTGAAGATATTTTAGAAGAATTAAGCTTAAGATATTGATTAGCTTCTAAGTGCCCAGTAAGTGTTTAATTATACTAACAGTCACACTCACTAGATTGTGTCCATAAATTTAGTTATGAGAATCAACTTTTGAATCATCTTTGCTCATATTGTTAGGAAAGGATTTCTACTTTTCTTTTGGGGTTTCTAACAACAAAATAAATCAGCCAGGCATGGTGATGCAGGCTTGTAGTGAGTGTAACTGCATTGCCATGATTGCCTCAATGTTCAGAGTTAATGTGAAGCATTTACCTTTCATAATCATTTGGACTTTGAGAAAGAGAAGTAGCACAGTCCTGCATTTAGTGAAGAAGGTAGATATGAGGACACCATAATTATTTTATGGGTAAGCTTTTCCATTGGATGGCACTTAGCAATAGGATAGTGTTTATCACACCTCATAAAGACCCTCAGGAAGGAGGAAGTTCAGAACTGCCCCAGCAGTGCCAAGAATGAAGGGAAAATTGTGTTGAAGGAAGGAAGATAATTCTGAAGAGGATTAATGTCAGTGTCCTTTACTGGAATGATTTTTACTCTATTCACCATTTATTTTGATTATACCTCATATAACTAAGTTTCCAGTTCTGTTTTATTGCATACTTCTAGGTAAGTTGTGGTTGTTGGACTAATTATTGCATTATATTAACACTTATTTTTCTAAAACATAAACTTGAGATGACAATAGTTCTTGTGAGCATTAAGTTTTTGCATTAATACCATCCTTATAGCTCTCAGGTCAATGGCTATTATATAGTAAGAAATCATGAAATGTTATCCATTTTTACTACCATTTTCCAGGCATTATGATAAATTCTTTATGTTTTTTATCTTACATTGGTTCTTAATGCCACCCTAAAAGATATATATATTGCCATCTAACACATTTAACTGGTGGAAAACTGAGACTTGAAGAGGTTAAAAATTTCACCAGTTTCACACATGAGAAAAAAAGGTGAACACAGGATTTGAACCAGGTACTCTACTGTGAGAGTCAGCACAAATAATTCAATAACACCATTGACTCTCTGGGTTTATTTTTAACAGTGGGATAATTTAACAGCTTTTGTGGGATAATGCAGTAAAGCAATTATGCTCACTAAGTAATGTTTTTCAGTTTATTGGAAATGTTTTATTTAGAGGTGAGAGAAAAGTTATGGTGTTTTTAGAGTAGAGGTTGTATCTGATATTTTAATATTACAGAGCATTTAGAGCCATTTAATATAGATCCTTTATGGCTAATGTGCCATTCTTCCTCTCAAATGTCTTTGTACATCATCATCATCATAATTAATAATAATAATAATCTACTACATGCAAACAAACCAGCATAAAGTGTTACAGAAAAAAAGGATAGCACTGATATAATTCCTCTGAAACCATAAGTTGTCTTTTGTGCAGACATCTGAAATGAAATGCAAGAGGGTAACTGTACTAGGGAACTGTCCCCAGACTAGGTGCTGAAGTAAGCATTCTGAACTTTCAGAACTACACCAGCCAAAGGGGTGGAGACACCCTGCCGAGCTGGCATGGAATCACATCAAAAGAAATGCATGGCGGACCACATCTTGCAGCATGTTGCTCCAGCCTGAAGCAGCCTGTTAATATTAGCATAAAGCAACATAAGTCATTTTGGAAGGCACAGTGGGGGAGATGGGATTTTTTTATTGCTTCTTTTCAGACATGTGTTAAACTACAACTCTGGATACTTGAGCTGACTATTTTTGCACCAAATATCATCTGACCTATGAAAAGACAAATTCTTTAGGAACCAAGTTCAAATCAAAGAAGCCTTCATTTTAGTCACTGAGGAAAAATAAAAAGACAGTAATAAAAAACCATTTGGAAATTTGGGTTGCAGAAAACAGACTATTCTGGTAAAAAGGATAAATGGCCTTTTTTGCAATATGTAACATATTTTTTATAGCAAGAAGAGTCAGTAAATCTAATTTCTGAATTTTTCTAAGCAGTATAGAGTGAGGTTAAAAAACATCATAAATTTCAAAATAATTTTAATAGTGGTTATTTCAAAACAGAGAAGAGTCAACATATGTTAATACTCTCAGGCTCTTTTTAAAAGTATGTCTGGTTAGAGTAGTACATCAAAGAACTAACTATATTGTTTTTAATATGTTCATTCTGTACAAGAATCCCAAATTTCATTTTTCCAAATTCTCATGGGAGAAATAGTTTGAAAGTAGCTCGTGTAGAAAATAAATCAAAGACCTTAGCTACTCTAAGGCCAAATGTTGGATTATACTGTAATGCTATACACTATATGTCAAATTTTGATGTAATTTTAAGCTGAGTTACAAATGCAAAGTTTCCAGATCATGGGAGGTGATAGCTTGAATACACTGTGACCTGAGAAGATAAAATCTAGGATTAAAATAATTTATATACAGACATTAGAAAATATTAGTATAGTGAAGGCATTTATGACTCAAAAAGAAGTCATGTGAGTAAGCTCAGGAAGCCAAGGAAATGTGAGCTGGGAAAGAGATGTCATATCAGTCAGGGTTTTACTGGAGAAACAGATATGATACAAGATGTAAAAATGTATAAGAAATTACAAGATTGGCTTACGACAGTCAACCGAAGAGTTGTATGAGGAAGTGTGCAGAGGGTGTCTGTGCACTGAAGACCAAAGGAATCAGTCCAGGGTCTGGAGTTCACTGCAGAGTCCGTACCAGGAGGCCAATGAGTCTGCAACGGAAGGCTGAAGGATCCAAGGTGGAAGCCAAAGAGTCTGCACTAGAAGCCAGGAGACTAAGTCCAAGCTGAAGGTGAAGACTGGAGCTCCTCCAAAAGGAATGGAAGATCCTCTGTCCTTCCTCATTTCCCTTTTATATTATCTAGGTGATGATCCACCCTACAGTGGCTCCTCTACACCCTAGGGTGTTGTATTGCTGAGCCAATTGCTGAGCCAAGTTTAGTTAAGCTTCTAAACTTCTCAAGCTGACATAATCAATCAACCACTACAGATGCCTAGGAATAGAAGATACTGTGCTAATACAATAACTGTAAATGTTTTTGGCACTCTATACTGTTTTATTATATTCTCAGGTAAAGTGAGGTATGCCCTGGAATTTGCGTCTATTTCCTTGAAAACTGTACAATCCAGCTAAGTCTGACTAACTTTGGAGGTGAAATTTTTTCACCTTGTGTTGCTTGTAATTGGTCTCTTTCAATCTTCTATGAGCTCAACCAAACCGGGAACTAGAACTCTATTTCCCACTGCAAACAGAACTAGTTCCAGGAGGTACTTGGTGACTCTTTGTCCATTTTCCCCACATATCACTGTTTTATTTTTTGTTTGTTTTAGATTTTGTTTTTTTCTTTGTTTTTGGCATCAGATTAAACACCGCTCACAGTCTGGAAGAGACTTTCTACTCCAAATTACCTGTTCACCTGTTGCTCCTGTTCACTCGTATGGACAATCAAGATGCATTATTATTAGTAACCTCTTAAATGCCTTAATTGGAGAAGTTAAGCTTTTCATATCAAGGGTGCATAGAACTGAACTGAGTTTACATGCTCCAGTATCTACCTTTCAAAATTCGCAAGAGGAAATAAAAAGGCTTTGAGGTAGAAAAAGCTACAACTTAATTGGCAACACCTGCAGAGCGGAGGTGATAAATGTATGGTGAAGACACGCGATATCTCCATCTTCTTCTGTTGTCTTCCCCCACGCACGCGTTCCTACTGAGCACTTCAGCGGTTTGAGTCAAGCCTGTTCAGGAAAAAGGGATGTATCAGTGGAAAAAAAAGATATTCTAGTAGGAACAGCACTTTTAGAAATGCAGTTGAAATTCTTAATAAAAACTATTTCATCCCTTCCCTTTCTTCCCATCACAATCTAAGTTATTGAGGGTAGAAATTCAAATGAACATATCTTACCAAAATATTTATTCAAGTAGGAATGTTTGTAATTTTCAGATGCTTGCTGGCAGAGTGGAAACAGAAAGATAAACGACTTTCTCACCCTATTCGGAAGTTATTGTTATCTTCCAGTCTGTGATGTTCCCTCATTATCCAAAGGGTACACAAATCCAGGCAGTGCATAATTTGGGAACCAAAAGTAAAATAGTGAAACATTTCTCAAGATGCCCTCACCATTTCACTGTTAAAAATAAAGAATTTAAATGCAGAACAAGTATACCTCATATTGGCTTTTCCCAGGCATTAAAATTCCACGCACAAAACTGTATGCATTGCTTCTCTGCAGTATGCTCCCAATGCTTTGCAAACAGCAGGCTGGAGTCCCAGCCCATGAAACACCTGGGCCTCTGGGGTAATGCGAATGTTTCCAAAGTTCAGTCACCATATTTCAAACTGATGCCTGGGGGAGGGAGGCAACCATAACTTTTTCAGACCCACCCAGCAACAGTTATGAAATGAATGTTTTCCAGTCTGCTTACCAATGGACAAAGTAATCACCTGAGCTGTTTATTTCCATTTTAATCAGTCAGCCAATCAAATCCGCAATGAGAGCTTGCTTAATTATACTCTTAGTCCTGCACTTAGCTCTGCTGTGAAGAACAAAGAGTGCAGTTTTGCCCTCTAGGAAACTTGACTTATACACACCTGAAACTATTAGAGAACAAAACAGGATACAGTGCAATTACATGAGAAAATGTTAAGTAGAACTACTGTAAGTGTTGCAAAGGACACCAAGGCATGATTCCAGCAGGGGGAGAGAGTCCTCAAGCACACTTCCTTCTCTGTTTCATCACTTGTCTCATCTCTGCCTCACTGCACTGTGTAAGAGAGAAATGAAAAGGTGTTCCGACACAGCCTCAGAAGGATGACACTAGGCTCATCTCCTGTTCTGTTCCCATTGGCCCAGTTCACACTGACCCTGTAACTGTGCTAAGTCTCTGTTATGACTTGGGTCTACATGGTCTCCTAAAGCCTCATGCACCCATGAGGGGGCAGGCTTCTCATAAGTGGTCGAATTTAAAGTGCGTGATTCTGGGATTAAGGGTGTGGGATCAATTCACTGATTACTTTGGCACCACCCAAAGCCCAGTGGCCTAGATAGAGTATAAAAGGGGAAGAAAAAAAGCTGCTAAGACTCCTTGTTGCTTTGCTATCATCTGCCTGCCATGCACTGTTTCTCCTCTGCAATGCCTGTCTGGTATGCCACTGTGCCTTGGAGCCAGCTGATTATGGACTGAACCCTCTACAGAGTGAGCTAAAAAAAACCTTTAACTTTGAGTGCCAGGTATTTTTTTCTCAGCAAGGACAGAAATTAACTAAGATGGCCCCCTTCACCCCAAGAGACAACCTAATCACCTTTTCTTGCCAACTGAGCACTTCTGATGTTTCCAGAGTCCACTTTTTCTGTACCTGCTGACAGAATGTATTTGTTCTCTTTTTTACCAGACTCTGGGTCTCCAGAAGGCCGCAGGGGGACTGTTAGCAATTTTAGGTGTTTAATCAGCTTTAGGAAGGGCTATAACAACTGTTTTCCAATGGTACAGAAGAAGGGACCATGAGATGCGCCCCATCTACACTCAAGATCGTGTACATATTGTGGTACACATAAAAAATCTGAATGTTTAATTCAGACTGATTGTTGCATTAAAAAAATACATTTTTAAAGAATCTCTTTGCTCACTCTCAAACTATTTCTTTCTCTCCTCACACTTCCTGATCTCACCCACCAACAATGGTCTCTACTCCATCCTCATTATTACAGAGCCCCTGAAAACTAGGATCTTTTTTTTTTTCCAGTAGCAGGGATTGAACTCAGGACCTTGTGCTTGCCAGGCAGGTGCTTGTGCCACTGAGCTATATCCCCAGCCAAAACTAGGATCTTGGGATAGAAAGGTTTTATAAAGAGGAAGGAAAAGCAATCATTATTTCAACCTGACACTTTTCTCTGCCTTTGCCCCCCAAAATAATATGTCAAACTAATTCAATTTATCGTGTCCATTTTTCTGCAAAAGATCTGAAGTAAATGAATGTGTTCTGTGTAATCTGAAAGGCAATGCAAATAGATAGTCAAACTTAGACCACTGCAGGACTGTAATATACCCAGAGAGAGAAAATTTTAATTCAAAAGTTAACGATTCATATGTCACTTGTTATCTTCACCTGTCAACGTTTCTGACAGCCTATTTTAATATTTGGTATTTTTTCATACTTTATCTTGTAAAAGAAATTTTATCCTTTTCTCACTGTATTTCTCAAAGTGGATAAAAAAAAAGGTCAGACTAGAGTTTTAAATTTTAGACTTGGAGGATGATAGCAGTGGTTTCTAGTGACAATGAAATTTCTTGTCCTCTCAGGAAAGGACTGATTTCTCTTTAACCTTTGCAGAAAGAACCTGCCAGAACCAAGTTTAAATCCATCCTAGTTGATCAATGACAACTTCAGATGATTAACCATGCTTCTGAAAGCCAGCCAATCAATGGCAGCCCGATATTTTTGAAAATCAGCCAATGAGTGATAGTGATTTTTAAGTAACCATGTTTTCACAGCTAAAGGTCAACCAATATCTAAATACTTTTACTTTTGATATTCTGCCAATCCCTGTATTCCACAGTTCCTGAGCCTTTGCACAAGACGAGATCTGCTGTGATTGGAGTTCTCCGCGGTGCAATTCTCCTTTGCCTGACATGCAGTAAGATTGTATCTTTGTGTCAGATGCAGGGTGGTGGCCTCTTTTGTTTAAACTAGTTTGATATCCCACCTACATATATTTAAATGTGTATTTATTTTCTTATTTCTTTATGCTCCTCACTGGTTTCAAACAGAATGTAACATAGTTAAATATTATGAAAGATGACCAATAGCCCAAACTACAAAGTCCAGAAGGTTGGTCTATAATGAAGTTAGCAATGGAAAAAATATATATATGGTTAGGCTTGGTTTATTCAAATGAAATAGTTCTGTCAGTCATGAATATTTCTGTCCTCCTTTTCCAATGGCAACTAGTATCTAAGCTTAAAGCATATGGTAAGTAAAGAGATTATTGAATACCACAGTGCTGAAACCTGGTACACAAAGTCAGACTCTCCAACCTTAGCTTCTATCACTGAATGTTCAAACAACAGATGCTTGAAAGAGGTTCCCAAATTTTATTCAGTTTGTTCAAAACAAAAAATAAAGAATAAAAGTAGTTATTTACCTTACACATAGTTGTAATATTGAAAAATCATGAACACTTTTTTAACAGACACTATTTTCTTAATACTGAAAGGCTTCAGTAAGCTATCTAAAAGATACCATGCACCATTTTGTTTAAAATTTACAATTTATATTTTCTAAAGGATTTCCCATAAGAATGTTATATATGTAATTGGAGACACCATTGTCCTTTTTCTTTAAGTTCCTTTCAAATGCCATTTATTGATTATCTCTACTTTACCTTAGCTTACAGTTGTAGTTAAAGACACACAAATATGCTGAATATGTTGAAGTCCATACATTAAGGAGACTTGAGTACAGCAGGATAGCCAGATCTCTGTAGGACTCATTTTGCGGTCCAGAGGAGCTCATTATGTATTTTACAAGTAAGAAATAAGTTCCCTAACAGGTAGTGTTTAGCCATGATAAATGACATGAAATTCTACATTTCTTTACCTAATCAAGCTGGCAGCCTACTACTGCAGAAGGTCCATGAAGCCACGCCCATCCCTCGGGCTCCCATTGCAATGCTTCTGCCCCAAATAGTTGGTAGTCTTTCCCTTAGTTCTCTAATGCCCAAGCCCTCCATACCCTCTCCAACTCCATATCCAACAGGAAGGTATGTGTTATCATCTAATGAAGTCTCTTCTTCCTCTTCAGAAATCACGTACACTTTCCAGCCAATGTCTTCATTTCCATACTCATTCAAAAATACTAATTTGCATCATGCTGAGAAAGATGCCAGCTACCTGGTAATTGCCACCCGTTGCCTTGTGTTATAGTTATCTACATACCTGTCTTATCCTTCCTGGTTGGTTTTTAACTTTCTTGAGTCCACAGGCATGTCTTTCTCATCATATGGTGTTTGATATTTGTCCAGTGGATGAGTGGGTTCTCCCTGTGCTCCTGGGAAGGCTCACAGAGGTTGGCCAAGTACAGAACCTGAAACTCGGTTATCAAACAAATATCTGACTCAATCTGGCTGATTATGTTAACAAATTTCCCTTGAAAGGTTTTTTTTTTTATGTTCTTTCCTTTTGCAGTGGATGAATCACGAGCCCGCTAAGAAATAGAAGCTGCAGTCGTGTATTCAGAGAGAGTATGCAATGTTTTAAAACCTCCAGCTATTGGTAATTGTCAATCATTTAAAAAAGTCTATCAATTTGGCTCATATACTACAAGACTTCTGTGTGCTTAAATATCCCTAAGGACACCCTGGACTCCTAGAATTATCATATTTATGGATTTCTCAATGCACTGAAGGTACCTCACACAGGCTTGTTAAGATAACTAATGGTAACCAACACCACACAAGGAAGGGCAATGATACAACACCATTTGTCCTTCCCACTTGGAAGGCAGAGAAGTAGAACTCAGTTAATTGTCAATGCAAGTAGCTGCAATGGGCACATTAAGCACTGGAATTTTATTAACATTTACACCCACCTGGGGTGGTGTAGGAAACAGAGCTTGTGCTAGAGAGTGAGAAAACAAATTCCAATAGAACAGGACCTGTGTCCTCAGGCTGAGCATATGTCTAGGTTTGCCAGTCTTCTTTACAGTGAGCCTGTTGTAGGAGGGGTCCCTTCTTGTTGAGTCCCCTCTCTTGGCCAGAGTTTGTACAGAATCAGGGCCCTCAGAAATTGGTCCTCACACAGTTCCAGCTGGTACTGTGTCTCCACTCTCTCTCCTTCTGTGGAGGAGTCCCCTGAGACTGTGGATTCCATTCCCTCCCTTCTCCACCTGTCTTTCTCTGAGAGCTCATCTGCTTTCAGCACTTCCTCTCTCACCAGGATGTAAATGACTCCCGAATCTATTTCTCCACTTTGCATGTCTATCTCTGTACATCACAGGGTACTTACTGCATGCTGCTGGCAGGCAATCATTACTCAGTAAATACTTGCTGCCTGATTGTAGGATAAGATGGAAGTGATCTTCTTTCAGATAAATTCAGAAAGGGCTTTTCTGGGTCAAGATGCCCTGCCCTTCCTAACTTCAAAACTAGAGAGAAACAGATGAAATTACTATAGGTAAACTCCTTGGACAAAGAGGCTGTACAATTTTTCTTCAGGATCTCCTGTTTTATCTGCTCAGCACTGCCTTTTTGTTAGAGGATGTTCCTCTCCCACATTCAAGTGGATCAGATTACCATGTGACACTGTCCTGGGCCCGTTTTCTGGGCATTTCAACCAAACCTTCTTTCTTGGGATTATTTTTTCCTTTTATCGTTTTTGGTAGCAGGAATTGAATCCAGGGTCTTGTTCTTACTAAGCAAGTACTGAAAGCTGAGTCACATCCCCAGCCCAGAATCTGTGAACCTGGAACCCACGAAATATTTTCTCTGCAGGTGTCTGAAATTGGAAAACATAAAATCCCAGAGATGTTTGTCATCACTGAGTAACTAATTCACTACTGTGTGTTAGGCCACCATGCAGAGAAGAACCAGAGGGCATAAGGCTCAACTTGCTAGTAGAGGAAGACAGATGGTAAATAAATAAATAAGCAAGTAAATATATAGCATGTCTGATGGGATATGCCAGAAACCTACTGGCCAAAGAAATCATCACCAATGATGTCCAATTTCACAATATTCCTATTCCCAAAGAAAGACAGCAAAACAATGGAATATGTGTTCATTGCAATATGTGCCTATTTCCCATTTTCATTTCTATGATTTTGAACATAAAAACAACAATGATAAAACCACAGTAATGGTCAATACTTAAGGAAAAGGATTCACAGCTTTAAGTGTCACATCCAGTACAGTCTATGTCGCAGTTAATCCAGACACCTGCCCTTTGAGATAAACATTTATCTGATTTTATGGATGAAGAAATTGATGCCTCAAAGAGTTAGAGAGCTTGGCCAAGGTCAAGGAGCAGCAGTAGAACCAACATCAAAACCAACTGCCTCCCACAGAACCTTTGCTTTTCTATTCACTACGTGATCCGGCCCCTGAGAAGCTTGCACATGCCAGAAGGTCAATAAATACAGTTCATCTTCCCTTGAGGAGCTCAACAGCCACCCTGGGGAGGAAAATTCACAAGGGACCAAGTCTGATGCAGTTTCCATCCTTGCACAGGCACAATGAAGCCCTGACATAGAAAAGGATGTGTAGACTGAGTGCCCAGTTCCACTAACCTTCCAGCATACTCAAGGACCAACCACCCCTACATGCAAAGTAGGAGAGCTCTGGTCTATGTGCCCACTACCTTTACACAAAGCTAGATACAAGAGAAGGCTCTTGGGGATGAAATGTGCAAAGATTTCTGCCCTGAGAGCTTGAGCCAGGTCTTTGGTGATAAAAAGCAAGAGATGAGGCAGCTCCTATGAAACACCTCCCAACATAACCCTGCTCACAGTTTACTCAAAGTTACTCAAAAAAATAGCATTTAGAAATTTTCCTTAGACTTCCTCCAGGCAAATATGCACTGGGACTGTGAGCTCAGAAACATGGGTAATTCCAAACAGTAAATCAGCATCAAGTGGAGAGGTGGTTTGTAACTTTGCATCAAATGCAAGTTTATCTTCCAAACTACTTATACAAAGGTGTTACTGAATTGTGTGACTTTTTGTTTTTTCTTCTTTTTAAATGTAATACATTTGTATTAAATCAGCTGTCCCTGAATTAAGATGAGGAAAACAGGGATATGCAATCTCATCATTCAGTTATTCATTTTTCTCTGACTTTTCAACCCTCTATCTCTGCTTTCCTACAAAGGTCTAGATTAGGAAATCTGTTCCCCAGACTCCCTGGCCTGGACATGAACATCGGCCTGCAGGGACAGGAGGGGTGAGGAGTGGGGGGTCAAAATCTAGCAGAAAAGTGGGTTAGAATGTCATCTTTAGAGTTCTCTTAGAAGCTAAAGTGCTTGGAAATTGAATATCAAAACCCAACCAGGTTTTTCTTCCCTAAGGGCAGCTTTTCTCATCTGGAGAAATATTAAGTTCATTTCTACACTGCTGTCTTGGAACTCAATGTTGATATCACTTTAGGGAGCAGAGACAAACCCAAGACAGTGTGCCTTCTGCCCAAGACCCTTCTGGCCCCTCTCCCCAGGCAGGACTCCCCCTATACTACTCCTCCCACACACACACACTGGCTTGCACTCTTACACTGGGCAGCACAGTACCCCTCATGCTCTTCCTGGACAGTCACATATGGCAGTCACCCCAGTAAAGCATAGAATTCTGACCATTAGGAGTCTTGTCCCCTTCATCTAGAATTTTGCGGTATTTGCAAGAGTGGGCAGAGCATAAAATTTGAAGTCAAGTAGATGTGGTTTAAACTCTGGCACTTACATTCAGTAGGTGAAGGACTGGGAGATTATTGAACCCCTCAGAGTTCCATTCCCTACTGTACAAGGAAGGTTAGGAGCATCCACCTTACCAACTTACTGAGATCATTAAAACAAATCAAGCCAGGAGTGGTGGCACTGGCCTGCAGTCCCAGCACTCCAGGAGCCTGAGGAAGGAGGATTGCACATTCAAGCCCAGTCTGTACAAGTCAGCAAATTAGGGAGATGCTGTCTCAAAATTCTAAAAAATTACAATAAAAAAGGCTGGAGAGATAAATCAGTGTAAAAGCCCAGGATTTAATCCCTACTAAAATGTAAATACAGAAATAAATAAATACTACCCCATCTCAAAACTTACATTTGTTAAAGGACTGTTTTGTGTGAGGCTGTATTTATTGTGAACTTATTGTACATATCACCTACTTGAATCCTTCTAAAAGGTGGAGCCTAGTGTGACTAAAAGGTGGAGCCTAGTGTGAGTTTCATTTTATAGATATGAAAATTAAGAGTAAAGAGTTGTATAGCTTGCCTAAGGCACTTAGTCTGGGAGATATATAATAATAATAATAATAGTAATAATAGTTAATAATAGATTTGCTTCAGTATACACTATGTGCCACAAAAGGGCTAAATATATTTTGTGTATTATTCATATGCTCCCCGTGTTTTAAACTGGAGAAACTATGTCTTAGAAAACCAAGGTAATTTTTGGGACCAGTCAGTCATCAAGAAAAAGTGCAGAGTTGTGACCCCAGGCCTTTTTCAGCCAGAGCCTTTGAGTGTAACCATTTCTGACGCCCCACAGATGCATTTTCACCACAGAGTAGCCCCTTACTACATTTTGTTAAATCAAGTTGACACTACGGGGAGTTTTCCATTTGAGCACATTACATTTCTTATGGAAAACATAGGTTTCAGTTCCTATGCACCATGGATTTGATTTTCTTTCTCAATTCCTACCAGAGAGAAACCTAAATGAGAGGACTAAAGAAAGGGTGTGTGGTGCTCAGCCTCAGCTGCTTACACCAGAAATGAGGTCTGCTCCCCGTGTCCTTCATGAAGGAACCGCTGTCCTTGCAGCCACCAAAGGTCCCTCACCCAGACTCCAGGCCACATCTATGAAAGGTGATTAAAAGTATCTTGCTGGCAAGTTCACTGCCAAAACAAAGTAGTATACACATCCAGCAGGAAGAGGTCAATGAAATGTGATCCATCTACTTGATACAACATCACACACCCATGAAAATAGTGGTTATGGAGAGCAAGGAAAAGTAGAGAAAAATGCTTGGACTATTTAGCATACGGTGTTAACCATAAGGAAGCACAAAACAATGTAATATAATTACCCCTATATAAAGTATGGATATATGTGAAATTTTAAATCTGAAGCCAATATAAAAGGAATTAAGCATTTGTTTTGAGGTGGTATGATTCTGGGTGGTGTGGTTTTTTTTTTTTTCCAGAGTTGATAAACATTCTATTACTTTGACAGTAAAATATTGGAATTAAATGTCAAAAGGAAAACCAAGGAATGGCCCCTGGAAGCAACCCCAGGCCTCACCCCATACATCTGTGGGGACACAGAGGCCTCCGAGGGCCCAGAGCCCCAGGGGTAGGGAGTCAGTTCTGCAGAGTTGCAGCTAGCTGAGTACGGGACACAGCCTTAAGTTTCTGGCATCTGTGGTCCCCACATGCTGGAGGCAGTCCTATGCCCAGAGGCCAAGGCCCAGAGAGGCCGTGTGCCCTGCCCCAAGTCACACAGTGGCAGGAGAACCGGTCCTGCAGACAGCCCTGGCTGAGCACCAGGCTCAGGTCTCAAAGGTGGTGTCTGGGACCAGCAGAGGATGCATGGGCAGGAGGTAGCCACAGCTGGGAAAAGAGAGCCTACCTGCTTGGGCCTGCAGGTCTGTCCTCCCCCACTGCATCCTGGGCTCTGTCATCCAGACTAGGAAAGAAGAGGAACTGCCACAGGGCTGGGCCAAGGGACCCTCGGCTGGGCAAAGTGTGGCCAGGAGCTGCACAGAAGCAGGCAGGAAGCTGTGGGCTCCTGACCCAGCCAGACACGGCAGGTGGGGCTACTCAGCCAGCTCTCCAGATGATGCAGCCAGGCCCCTCTGGGAAAGGCAGAATGGGGGTGCCCTCACCTCTGTGCCAGCCTCCCTTGGCAGAAGTGATGCATGCAAAGGGAATCAGGGTTTGTCCCCTGGCCCCTCCCCCCCCCATAGAGGCGGTTGCATGTCACAGCAGTGTCATGGCCAGGGCCCTGTGCCTGTCACACTCCCAGCCCCAAGCCACCTCTCCTGTGTGAGGGGTGGAGAACTAAGATACAGGTATAGAGAAGGCCCCCTCGGGTCCACCCCGGAGCACAACTCTCAGAGCACCACTCTTTGCTATCATTTCCCTGCCTCACAGACACAAGGGACACAGGCATGGTCAGTGCAGGGGTCAAGAGTTGTTCTGCAGCCCGTAAAACATGTCTGTATTCTACTTGTTATTTGATGCCTAAGTAATGAAGAATTCACTGTGTATTTCTCCACCACCACTTTCCAAGTAATATATAGAATATTTATGAACCTTTGGCTCACAAGGTCACAAAGCTAAAATGATGGGTCCCTGACCTGAACTGGAAGTTTTCACACCTATGGTACCCACTTCCCTGTACCAGACTCTCTTTCCACTCTGAAAACTGCAAACAGTAGTGTGGTCATAGAAAGTATACTTCATGTGGTACTTTTTATAATATCAGTTTGGGTTAGAGGAGTGAATAATATTACAGTACTAAAAGAAAGATGCTTTTCAAACTGGGGAAGACACCTGGAACAGAGATTATTTCCTTACGTACTTGGACCTCTTCACTGAATCCCCTCCTAAGCTGACCCAGGAACATGGCACTGTGCACTGTTGTGCGATTCTCGTCCTGTGTTCTGAATGCACCTATACTGTACTGCAGTCCCCAATGTCCTTCCTAGCCCCATTCTCCTATCCTCCACTTGTCCCCTCCAGCACCAGGCCTCTGAGTTAGGCAGGTTTGTCCCTCTCCTCCTCCCAAGCTGACTCCTGGATTGCTCTGCAAATTAAAGGCTTAACTCCTCCTGTGTCGGAGAGCAGGATTTGGCAAAAGTACCTGGGAAATCATATAATTACACAGTTCTATTCAACAGCCAAGATGTCAGTCCTTCTACTTTTTTTTTTTTTTTTTTTTTTTTTGTCTTTTTGAAACAGGGTCTCTCTATGCAGTTCAGGCTGGCCTTGAGCTCGCTTTGTAGCCCAGGTTGGTCTCAAACTCACAATGATCCTCCTGCCTCAGCCTCCCAAGCGCTGAGATTACAGGCACGTGTCACCATGTCCGGCAGTCCTTCTACCTTTATGGACTGCATACTGCCCATCCCCAACAGCACAGGACAAGGCAGCTGGGATATCTGCTCTGTGAGGAGCGCCCACACAGGCATCAGTGAGAGAGACAGCTCTTTGTTTGAAGCCCTCGGATTTCCTTGAGAGCAATAAACCCATATTCTATGGGCTGCTGTAGAAAAACCAGTTCTAAGGGAAAGACACAGCCCCAGCACTTACAAGCCTTATGAAGCAAGGCACATGGTAAAGGCACACTCAGAATTCTCTCTCTCCCTCTCTCTCTCTCTCTCTCTCTCTCTCTCTCTCTCTCTCTCTCTCTCATATACATACACACCTGCAATAAATCCAGGAAGTCACGCCCAGCCTTTTTGAAATGTATCAAGAATCTCTGTCCCTCTAACCTGGGATCCAATTTCCTGCCCCGGCATCTCTGTTTAATAAAGTAAGAAGCTGCCTATCTCATAGTGCTTTCCTTTTGTTCAAGCTAAGCCTTTGCTCCTGCCTTGGTTGTAGGTCATGATCTTGGCTGCTTCCTGCAGATTGAAAAGGTTGACTCCTAGATCAGTACGTGACCAGCCTGCTTTTAGGGAGACTGTCGGAAGAACTTCACTGTAGTTTAGTTTCCATGTCATTTATCACTGGCATCGCCTCATGCGTGAAAGTGCAAGGCGATTTAAGGAGCTGGCATTTACTCACAAGGTCTCCTTCAATGGAACAGTGCCTAACACACTCTCAACTCACACTGCCACTGAAACAGAACTCTCCTCCCAGCACCTCTGCCTTCCACGGAACAGCACAGCTTTGGGCAGATGGGGAGCTCTTCCAGAATATGGGTCCTGTGAGGCTGTGTGAAATGTTCAGTACACCCCCGGGGGGAGGTCACAGACAGCCTAGGCACTTACTGTCTCTGCAGTCTCTTAAAATGACCCAAAAGAGTCTGGTTATGTGAAAACAAGTCATCTGGATGACTGAGAAATCCTCTAAGACCACATGGAAAACAAAGCAAGAAAACGCTTTTGACTTTAAAGGGGACCATGCTCAAATTCTGGATTTTCACTTCTTTGATATATTTTCATCCTTCAAGCCTCCTGACTTTCCTACTCTCTTAATACATTTTAAACAAATAAAAGCAAGGAAAAATTCTTGATGATTCTGTAGCTTATTTTACTTGGTCCTTGATTCTAGAAATAGAGCTTCTAGTTTCACAAAAATCCCTAGAAATGAGATTTACTAGTAAGGGAGTCAGTAATCGGAATTCCACAAACTCAAGAGTTAGGTAAACTAAGTTTCTAAAATCAGAAATCACATAGAATGGACATGTTCCTAGAAATGCAAACATTGTATGTTTAATATTAATTTTCTGTTTAGTAAGAATGCCCTCTCATCAGATCTGTCCATCTCCTTCCCAAATTTGAAGAATCCCATGTAGGTTACTCTATTATACTGGAATCCTACACACTAATACCAATAAGCACACATGCACACACACGTGTATGAACATACACACAAGCAAAAGGAAGTCTCTGCTGTTCAGTGCCTCATTTTCTCAATTAAAAAGATTTATTTATTTCAACAATGATGTACTCTGAAATTATGATTAATCAGGGAGGTTTGGCAGCTGTCTGAAAGGCCATGTATTAAACTAGAAAGACTTCAGCCTATACCCTCAAGATAAAACTTCTGTAACATTTACACAATAGTAGACTTGCTGCATTATTTTCAAACTTTTTGACAATTATAAGTGAAGATGCATGCCATTTTACCCATTTGTTTCGTCATAGGAAAGTCATAGGAAAGAAGCAATGGTCCATTGTTCTATTTGTCCACATAATTTAGATTTGGAGTTCTGTTTCACAGCAGATCTGTCCTCTCCTTTCTTATTTCTCTGATTTCCCAGTGTGAGTGTGTTCTCCATTTGTTTCTATTCATCAAGGCCAACTTGTAGGCTAACCAGGCTATAACTGGCTCAGTTAATTCCAAGTTTCTAGAAAACGCAAAAGTTTGATAATACCTCTTTTCTGAAGTTGGAATTAGAGACAAAATTCCATGATTTCAAAAAATTTAATGAACTTCCCCATGGCATGGGAAAGTGGGGAAATGTAAGTGCTTCTGGAAGGTATAATACAATGAGTCATGACAGACATGTTCGAACCCCACCCCCAGAAGTGATGGTATTACATCCTTTACCTTACAGCAGGCATTATGTAGACTAAGGAGGAAGGAGAAAAATGGGTCTGGACTCTGGACCTTACATGAAGGGCCTGAGAATCCAGAGGGCAATAGTCACACAGGGGAGACACAGAACGGGGAGCAGGTAGATGCAAAGTCAGTAATTTTCTTCACTGCCTATCGCTCATGTTCCAGAGTGGCTACCCAAGAGCCAAGTCAGAAAAAGGGAGTGTGGATTGCCAAGATATTGCCAAAGAAACTTTCTACTAGACAAAGTTAAAGAAATAAGGAAGACTTTACTTAATATTATTGCAATACAGGGGAAAAATCTAACTCACCCCCACTGAAAAGAAATGGTGAGGTTTTCAAACAAGAGGGCAAGCTGCTAAAAAAAATCCTTAGCAAGGAAGTTGATTTAGCAAGCCAGTTGATCAAAGCCATAAGTCCATCTATGTTTTCAAATCCTCCCTTATCAAAGAGAACCTCCTACCTTAATGTAAAGACTAGAACACCGAGCCCTGTCTTTCTTGATGATTGCATTTCAAAGGGATGGTTCTCAGGCCTGGAGAAAGATATTCATGGGTTATAAAACTAGCAAGAGCCTGAGAGAAGATTTACATCTCAAAGGTGTTAAGAAAAAAGAAATTTAATTGTAGGCTTTTTAGAGCAAATGCTCTAAGGAAAAGGAGGTGACTAGGGGGGTGGTGGCTGAAATTTAGACAACCTGAAGGGAATGTTAAAGCGTTCATCATCAATATATAATTCCTTATTACATTTGGAATGCTATATTAAAATACCATAGACTGGATAACTTATAAACAATGAAAATTATTTTTCAGTTCTGACCAAAGCACTGAAGTGAGGACCTACTTTCTGGTTCATAGCCGGCATCTTGGAGCTATTTCCTCATGTGGTGGAGGGGGCAAGGCAGCTTTCTGGAGCTTCTTTGATAATCCCATTCATGAGACTGTACCTTCATGAACTCTTCAGTCCCAGAGGATCCACCTTATAATACCATCACATGGGAAATTAGGTTTTACCATATGCATTTGGGGTCAAAGAAGACACAAATATTCAAATCACAGTGTCGTAATTTAGAGGAGCAGATCAGGAACACTTCCTAAGGTCTAGGTGCTTACATGCCTGTCTCACTTAACAGCAATACCTGCTTTGCCCTTCTACAGGTGAGGAGACTGAAGTGCAGAGGTTCCTTGAAGTTCAGGCTACTAGATCACCTGTGTATGGTTAGTTACTGTCATGGTTTGTGTCTAGATATCCCCCTGAAGCTTCATATAGTCATGGGGTGGGCTTCCAGAGTTCATGACTGATTCATGGTCCACTGCTGGGATTATGGGTATGAGAGCTACACCCATCCTGAGGCAGGCAGCCTGCTTACAATATAAGGCAGGGAAAGAGGCTGCTTGCTGCTGCTCCCTTCTCTCTTTTTTGCTCTTGCTGTTTTTGCTGTATTGTGCCACCTTGAAGTGTTGCCCCTGTGCCCTGACACCCTGCCTTGGAGCCAGCTGATTATCGACTAAAACTTCCACAAACTATAAGCTAAATAAGCCTTTCCTTCCTTAATTTTGGGCATTGGGTATTTTGTCTGAGCAATGAGAGGAAAGTAACCAGGACAGTTACATA